GTGAACTAGCCGATTTGATAACACGCTATGTTATATTTGATAACACGCGCGAGGCGGCGCGGCGCTACTATGTACCCATATACACGGTGTCCCAGAAATAAGTGCAAATATTTTAACTTAACTGGTAGCATAGTTCAACCCCAGAAACACGCCTATGAGGTTTTTTCGCGAAATTTTTTTTTTGAAAATTCGGAATTTTTGGAAAAAATTTTTGGATTTTTTTTTAGTTTTTATTTAAAAAAATAACTTCTTGATAATATGGCAACATAGGTAGTAGATTAAATTTACAAGAAAGAAAATCCAGAAAAGATCCAGTGGTTCTCAAAATTTTAGCAAAAAATCATCTTTTTTTTGGAAATTTTCACTTATAATATCACAAGAGCTTAAATTATTTTCGGAAATTTTTTTGAGGGCACGAATATTTTGAAAATTATCCCGAGTCGAAGACGAGGGATAATTTTCCTAAAATATTCGTGCCCGAAAGAAAATTTCCAGGAATAATTTAAGCTTGCGTGGTATTCGGTAAGAAAAATTCACACCTAAATTTGAAAAAAAATATTAATCCAACATGACTTTTAAAATAATTTCAATTTGTTAATAATATTAACAAATATTATTATATTTTTTAATTAGTTACATCAAATGCTAAAACTCAAATGGGTAATATTTCAATATATAGACATTGTAGTTCATTCACATTATGATTGTAGATCTTATGTTTACCTTTTCAACTGTCAAAAAATTTCTACTAAAGTTTCGTGGCGCCTCGAAAAAATTTCCGGAAATTTTTTCAGTTGCCATGGTAACTAGTCAACATTAAAGCATGTTATTGGTTGAAAAGTAGAGGTGTGAAATTTTCAAAGTAAAATAACTTGCTTGCTCCACTAAGTGTGCGAACACAGTGCAAGCAGGTTTGCCGCTTACCGGTAGTCGGCGCCAATCTGGGTACCTATTCTTGACATCGTTCGCAACTTTGCGTATACGCATCACGTGTATTGTTATAAACAGGGTATCCCAGAAATAAGTGCAAGTATTTTAAGGGGTAGTAGATCTCGATAAAAGAAACATATTTTCTCTTTATCGTTTTTCAAATAAGTCCAAAATAACAGAGTTATTTTACTTTGAAAATTTCCAAAAAAAAGATGATTTTTTGCTAAAATTTTGAGAACCACTGGATCTTTTCTGGATTTTCTTTCTTGTAAATTTAATCTACTACCTATGTTGCCATATTATCAAGAAATTATTTTTTTTTAAATAAAAACTAAAAAAAAATCCAAAAAAATTTTCCAAAAATTCCGAATTTTCAAAAAAAAAATTTCGCGAAAAAACCTCATAGGCGTGTTTCTGGGGTTGAACTATGCTACCAGTTAAGTTAAAATATTTGCACTTATTTCTGGGACACCGTGTATATGGGTACATAGTAGCGCCGCGCCGCCTCGCGCGTGTTATCAAATATAACATAGCTTGTTATCAAATCGGCTAGTTCACAGTGAAAGCAGGTAGGCGCCGTCAACCAGCGTTCTTCGGCGTTCTCGCTTTTACCGGAACGAAAATTTATTTATTTCTGTTTTTGCACGCGCCGACGGCGCACAGAGGGTATTAAGAACTAAAAGTTGGCCAAAATCATGTTTTATGATTTTTTTGCTTTTTTGCTAGTAATATTAATTATTAGAGGAGGGTGCTAATATGGAACCCCATTTTGTTTTTTCTACACTATAATTTTTCTTCTACTCTGAAGCCCTTTCCACCGATCAAATAGGGCCATTCTGTGCAAAACCATGCAATTGGATGAGGATGCTAGAGCAAGAAAGTAAGTTGTATATTATAGACGATATTTGAGCGAGGATGAGCGAGGATGGGCGATTGCACTTATTTCTGGGATACCCTGTTTATAACAATACACGTGATGGGTATACGCACAGTTGCGAACGATGTCAAGAATAGGTACCCAGATTGGCGACAACTACCGGTAAGCGGCAAACCTGCTTGCTCCACTAAGTGTGCGAACACAGTGCAAGCAGGTTTGCCGCTTACCGGTAGTCGGCGCCAATCTGGGTACCTATTCTTGACATCGTTCGCAACTTTGCGTATACGCATCACGTGTATTGTTATAAACAGGGTATCCCAGAAATAAGTGCAAGTATTTTAAAGGGTGGTAGATCTCGATAAAAGAAACATATTTTCTCTTTATCGTTTTTCAAATAAGTCCAAAATAATGAAGTTATTTTACTTTGAAAATTTCCAAAAAAAATATTTTTTGCTAAAATTTTGAGAACCTTCTTCTCCATGTGCCTTCTCCTCATCGGAGGTTGGCGACCATCAATTGAAATTCCTCCCTGTCTTGAGCCAAACGGATAATTGCACTGGCCTCTCCTATATTAAACCACTGGCGCAAATTCCGCAACCAGGAAAACCGTTTACGCCCGATGCCTCGTCGTCCTTCAATCTTTCCTTCAATGATCAGCTGTAGGAAACTATATTTGTTATTTCGAAAAATATGACCAAAATATGCTGCTTTCCGTCGTTTTATTGTAGTCAATATTTCTTGGTCTTTACACATTCTTTCCAATACTTCGAGATTTGTTTGAGAACCACTGGATCTTTTCTGGATTTTCTTTCTTGTAAATTTAATCTACTACCTATGTTGCGATATTATCAAGAAATTATTATTTTTAAATAAAAACTAAAAAAAAATTGCAAAAAAATTCCAAAAATATTTTCAAAAAATTCCGAATTTTCAAAAAAATGAACTATACTACCAGTAAGTTAAAATACTTGCACTTATTTCTGGGACACCCTGTATATGGTTACATAGTAGCGCCGCGCCGCGCCGCCTCGCGCTTATAACCTTGAAAAATTAAAGCGTGTTATCAAATCGGCTAGTTCACAGTGAAAGCAGGCAGGCACCGTCAACCAGCGTTCATCGGCGTTCTCGCTTTTACCGGAACGAAAATTTATTTATTTCTGCTTTTGCACGCGCCGACGGCGCACAGGGGGTATTAAGAACTAAAAGTTGGCCAAAATTATGTTTTATGATTTTTTTGCTTTTTTGCTAGTAATATTAATTATTAATTAGAGGAGAGGTTGCTAATATGGAACCCCATTTTGTTTTTCCTACACAATATTTTTTCCTCTACTCTGAAACCCTTTCCACCGATCAAATAGGGCCATTCTGTGCAAAACCAAGCAATTGGATGAGGATGCTAGAACAAGAAATAATTTGTATATTATAGACGATATTTGAGCGAGGATGGGTGTTAATAGGGTAAAGACTATTTCCTTTAAGAATCTATTTAAATTAATGTTTTTTTTTGGCAGTGGCAAATATTGGCAAGATTTTTGTGCATATTCCAATGCTGGAGACTTTCAGCATTGAATGGATACTAATTTCCATGCGGAATATTGCCGAATAGTCTTACACCTTATAAAAATGCCACTCATTTTTTAAATATAAAACATTATAAAAAAATAGAATAGAAGGAAACGTTTCAAAATAAAAATATGGCATAAAACAGAATAGAGCCAACAAACAAAGCTGGCTCTGTATCCATCATGACAGTTATTATGAACAATTTGCAAAAAAAAGCACTACAAACAATTCCAGTATTTTTATAATCTTAGAAATATTCAGAATACACTCAAGATAATTCATACTTTTAACTGAAATATATTATTTATTTGATAGTCAACTTACGACTTAAAAAAGCTAATAACTAATAAACGTGCTTACATTTAGTATTTATAGATTTGTGTTCAGTTAAGATAAAAAATGAAAATAAAAAAATATCACTTTTGGCCAGGTTTATAGACCAAATACACCTATGTGCGGCCCCGGCGAGGCGGGCGCGGCGTTTGAATATGGTTTGGTTAGGTTAGGTTAGTTAATCAGGTAAATTTCCTCTTAATTATCTACTTCCGAATCCTTCTCGCATCTCCGAAATAGCCATATACAATACACGTGATGCATATACGCAAAGTTACGCATCTGTGTATTGTTATATGGCTTTTTAGGAGATGCGAGATGCGAGCGATATTTGAAGATGCGAGTGGTCAAGAATAGGTCCCCAGAGACGGCGCTGGTTGCCGAAAAGCAGAAACCTGCCTCCACTATGTTCGTACCCTTACTTTCTGTTGATGGAAACGCAAATGGCGGCGTGCGCGAGGATATGCACGTAGCGAGGTGGCGGTATTCGTCCTAAAAGTCAAAATTCCTACAAACCGAATATCACTTCGGGCATGTTCGGTTGTCCTAAAAATTCCTATTTAAAGAATTTTGTCCTGGCTAACGTATTAAATCTGTCAACGTCGCATACTATCCAATCTTGTTTTGTTTTTGAATTTGACAAGATTAACCTCAGAAAAAGTTTAAAAATTATAATTTTTAGGAACATTGACGAATAATGTAATAGAACCTGATATAAAATAATCCGGAAATATTTACAAATAAAGCATAAACAAAATGAAAGTGATAGCAACGCGATTACCTTTGATAATGTGTTTTTTATATAAGAATACGTCTACATACGTTGAAATCTCAGGTGTGTATCTAGATAATATGTATTCAAACAAAAGCTGTAAAACGACTAACAATTTTTAGAAAATATTAAGCTATCCACAAATTCCTGAAAATAAATTAGCCTTGATTTGCAGAAAAAGTGTTCTTAATTATTTTTCCCACATGATGTCCTTTCAGGTTCCAGGTATGTGATATTGTTTTAATTGCAAGATCTATATGTAGCTTACAAAAATTCATTCTTCAGGAAACAGCACGGGCATGTATTAGGCATAATAAGTAATTATAAAAATATAGCAAAAATGAGATGGTTTAAAAGAGTGAAAATTTTAAGGTTAAGAAATCTAAAACTCAAAGGAAATCTGAAGTATTTTATTATGAATCTATTCAGTATAACATTGTGGTATTTTACGAAATGTATTTCTTTTAAATTACAGCTATACGCATAATACAAAAAACAATTTATCATCTTTAAAACTATAAGGCATAGCCATAGGATATATGATATATGAGATAGGTAGGTATGTACCATGTGGTAGGTACAATATGATCGAAAAAAAAAACGGCGTCAGTGATGGCTATGAAATGAAGATCGGTGTCTTTTATATGTAAAATTATATAGGGAATGTCAAGGATCGTCATTTCCAAGCCAACTGGACGCCGTTTTTTCGATTATATGAGATATAAGTGTCAGCCTTGCTAGACCACAGACCTTTATATTATACTTCTAGCACAAGGACATATCGGCAAGCCTTAGGTTGGTGTTTACGTGTGTAGGTGTGAATCACTATGGTGATCTGGTCGGAGATAGAAAAATATAAAATATTTATTACATAACCACACTTAATCTGATGATTTCCTATGCATTCAATACCAAGATCAATACATCTTATTGTAATAAGCATATTGGCCATACTCTTCATATACATGAAAATCATATCAATCGTGTATCACATAGCACATTTAAGAGGACTGATCCTATAAAGGTATTTATTTTTGTTTTCTATTTATAACCTCGTTAACTCATTTATTTTGTAGATTTATTGAATATTAAGCTCTAGGATAAAAAAAACCTGCTTAGACAGAACATGGGTATTTTCGAATACTTTATTTAGAAAATCTTGTCAGGACAATGATATAAGATTACAGAAAAATATCTGACGTAGGACAAATGTATAAAGTATTCAGGATACCCTTCGGGAACAATTTAGAATGATGCAGCGTAAACTACAGTAAAGTCTGAACATTAAAGCATAAAGGTAAATAAATTATCCATACATATGTGCAGCAAAGTCGTAATATAATAAATTTATTGTTTTCAGAAACAAAATCCACAACTTATTCTGCCAAATACAAATAGTACACATCTTATTTTACTAAGCGTGTTGACCGTACTCTTCATACACACAAAAATCGGCACCCAAGGCCTGAAATGCCGACTCTAGTATACCTATTCTATGTAATAAATATTTTTTAAGTATATTTATTTGTATTATTATCTTTCTAGATTAAAATATTTTTAATCAGTCTGAGAATCAATCTGAATTTATTTTTAAAAAAGAACGAGTATACCTAAAAGCAAAAATGATTTAAGTTAGTATGTCAAAATAATAAGTTAAGATATTTTTAGAAAACCTGTATTTTAAATTGCAAAAGCTGATAAAATTTCAAATATTTTTCAAACTAAAAAAATGTATCGATCTGAATTAATTTTTCAAATATAACCAGAAAAAAATATCTATCTTAAAGTTGCAGCAATACTCTGTATTAAAAAAACATTTTATTTATTAAAATTACAAAATTACGGTATAAAGTTATAAAAAAGTACTTTATAAAAAAAGATCTCCAAATTGTCAAGAAAATAATAAAAAGGGGAAATTCTGAAATTTACAGAAATTTCTTTTTCACTTTATTCCAATTATGTTAATAAGAGTGAAAGTAAAGACTATGGAGAGCTTATTCGTAGTAAAGTAACTAGTTAATTAGTTATTCTGTGTATAGCAAAGACTACCTGTAACGACCCCTAAAAGTAGTTAATAATAATTTAACATTAATAATGAGGTATTTCTTGCTTGAGTGCCTTGAGACAAAACCGGTAAACAAATAAGAACAAAATATGTGAGCATGTTCATAAAAACCGTAATATGTAAAGTTGATTAAAATAAATACATATAAATACTGTAAAATAAAAAAAAACAGCTGGAAGAGCAGCAATTTTTTTTCAATTGTAGAGTACTGTATGATCGAAAAAAAAACGGTGTCCAGTTAGCTTGTTAATGATTATCGATGACATTCCCCATATAATTTTAAATATAAAATGACAGCAATCATTATTTCATAGCCGACCACTCATTATTTAATAGTGACCATTGTGTATTATTCTTGTTACTAATACTGCACCCAATCACTTTTTTGACAATAATCTATAAAAAACAAAAAGGTAAACAATTTTTTATATTATAAAATAATTTATTTCATTACAGGCCATAGGCACAAACCGTCATTTTTACTCCGAATAGGGCATGCTAATTTTTTCAAACGTCACAAATATTTTTTTAAACAATTTCAAACTTTGCAAATGATATAACAAGATTTAAAAGTAATACCTTGTAACTAATTATACCGTATGATCGAATAAAAACGGCGTCAGCGATGACTATGAAATGACAATCGATGACATTTCCCATATAAATTTACATATAAAATGACAGCGATCTTCATTTGATAGCCATCGCTGAGGCCGTTTTTATTCGATCATACGGTATTTATATCGAGAAACTATGGTTACACTCGTTGAATTTGACACTTTATATCAGTTTAATAATATATTTTCGTACTTTTGTGCTTATGCGTAAAAGTGCTTTATTTTTATGCTTAGGCATTAAAATTACTTTTATTTTATCAATCACGTCGCCAAAATTAATACTTTTGTTGCGTTTGAAAAAAAAATCATTTATTTGTAAGTTTTATAACATATCTAATTAAATTGGGCCGAAAGGAATCAGTTCTGAACACACATCCGTGGTACTGAATCATTCTTAATTTATTTTTAAAAAAGAACATAAATACCTAAAACAAAAATAATTAAAGTTATGTAGATATGTCAAAATAATAAGTAAATTAGATATTTTTAGAAAACCTGTATATTTATTTAATTGGAAAAACTGATGAAATTTCATATATCTTTCAAATTAGAAATTGTATCCTAATTAATTTTTACTCTAATTGCTAAAAAAACGAAAATTACAAAAATTAAGTTATAAAGTGAGTTTAGTTATATAAAAGTTCACCATATTGTCAAGAAAACAATTTATTGCTTTTAAATTAAAAAATTATGTGCAAGTTAGGTTAAACTACAAGTTAAACGATATAGATAATCAAAAAGTTTTTTGATAAAATTTGCTTTTTATGATGTCAGATCATTTCTATGAAAAATACACTAGATAGAATACATTAGATTTTTATTAAAGACGCTGATGGATAACTAAAACATTGACTAATAAACCTTGTCCATTTTAATATAAGAGGTCACGACATATTCCCCTTGGAATCTTTGTGAAGGTGTAAGGGGTGTATAGTGTGTAATAAATTAATCCTTGTTTTATAATAAAAACCATAAAACATTTATTTGTGAGTAAAATAATGCAATGTTGGTTGTATATAAAACGCCTGCCCTCGCCTGTCCTAGGCAACCAAAAATACATATAAAAAAATCTTGTAACTTTACATGAACTTTAGTAATTATGTCAGTAAACTCTTAATTGGGCCTCTAGTCTATTATATTTAATGTACAAATATATTATTAAATTTTAATCATAGATTAAATATTTTAATCTAAGCATTATGTAATAAAACTATTTGTGCCCATTTATCATAAGAGGTCACGAAATATACTCTTGGTAGTACACAAAACAGTGTAAGGGGTGTAAATAAAATGTATAATCATTGATTTTTTATAATAAAAACTATAAAACATTTATTTCTTATTTGTGAGAATAAAAAACAAAACAATGCATAATATAAACTATTTTAGAATTAGGCATAGGCAACCAAATACACAAGAAAAATAATTTAGATAAAACCTTGTAATTATTTATTAAATATGACAATTCCAATAAACTCTTAATTAAGTCTCTAGTCTATTTTTATTTTATATTTGCATAATATAAATACCTTACACTCTTTTTCCGATACAGAAAATTTTGTTAATTGCTTCTGGAAAATGCGACAACCTTACAACGCTGTTTTTAACGTTCGGGACGCGTTCGGGTGGACGACTCTACCCGAACAACTGGTAGGAATTTTGACTAATAGGACCAATGAGGTTATAAGGGGGGGAGGCGACATAAGTTATCGAGAAATTTACCCAGTTACGTCATATTGGTACTGGCAATTCTGACAGTTCAGTTTTTGAGGTTAAGTGCGTTGCTGCGAGTGTTTTTTTTAATTTTCCAAGACTATTTTTGTGTTTTTATTTGAATATTTGGACTTTCCGAACATGTCTTCGTGTGCTGTAAGTAGTTGTTGCAGTCGACAACGTGTAGAGAGGAAGAAATCCACTGAAATTGGTGTTGAATCACAGGTAAGTGTAAACATAATACAGGACCTGATTAAATTATTTTCGTATTTTCCATTTAACTAGTTATGCGTTTATTAATTAAATATTAAGTGTTTCTATATTGACAAAGTGTTTAGTTATTTAATACTTTGTTAGAGGCAATTAAGTAATTAAAACATGCCTCGACTTCTATTCTTTAAAAAAAATTCTTAACAATATCTGTTATTTTTACTACATATACTTTTTTTGACAGGAAAGAGTATTTGGCTAGGCCAAATTTAAAAGTTTTGTTTTAACTACGGTTTATTTTTCTATTTTTACACTAAGATTTTGTACTTAAACATTTATTTACATTCCTTTTTAGCATCTGCTAGCATATACTATGTACAAACTTTATATAGTATAGCTTCAATTTTTAGATAAATATTATAAAATCAACAAAGTAAATTTACTTTTTGCAGATAAAGTCTTAACAACTTATATTTATTGATAAACATTTATTATTTTAATAAAATTTTATATCAGAACATTTTAAATTTAGTACGTAGTATATAAATTTTGCTCTCTTTAGAAAATTTTTATCAAATAAATATTATATTAAATCTGATTTTTAGGTTTCAAAAATCCCATCCGTCGAGAAGCTTGGGTGAAGTTTGTGAACAGGAGAAACTGGCAAGCTACATCAGGTAGTGTTCTATGCTCGAAACATTTTTCTGATAGCTGTTTTGACAGAACATCTCAACAAAATGTTAATTATGGTAAATCAGTAATCATGTTTAATTATTTTCCGCTTTTTTTCTAATTTTTTTTAAAAATGTTAAGGATATTATTGTTAGATACATCAATAAAAACAAGGCAATTAGTTTAAGACATACTAAACTACTAGCAACAAAACAGTGTTATTTAGTGAGCAATAAAATTTAATTTATTTAATGTGTATTATTTTTTTGTGTTTCCTCCTTAAATATACATAGTATATAGTCATTAAAATTTATCTTGTAATTTATATTTTTGAAAAAATTGTAGGTTTTCTAGTTATTTTGATTAATTATTTTTTTATTTAAAAAAGTTGAGGTCGTTATATTGTGTAAAATAAAAATTTTCAAAGAAGTTTCTGTAATCCGGCCCTGCTAATGCCGCCATATTGGTGCTGGCTTAAGCCACGCCTAGTGTTACCATTTTTCGCAAGCACTTTAAATGCTCATAGCGTCTCCCTGTATATAACCTCATTGATTAGGACAGATGTGGTTCTCCCCACGTAGCGTTTCCGCGAGTTAGCCTGCCGATTGATTTATATGCCGTGTTATAACTGTATTGTTATTGTATATATGTTACAGTAAAAGTCGGAAATTCAGTATTGTAAAATTCACTACGAAATGCTAGCAATTAGGCATTGGACCAGTGAATGTAGTAGGTATTTTAAAGAGATTTGTCGACTTTTCCTAATAAGTATAAATACTATAAATAAATAAGTTAATATATATAAATATCCTAATAATGGTGAGAAATAATGTTAGTGGAAGTTAGAACGAATAAATAAAATATTGGATCACCTCAATTAGCGGATCCACATATGTTACAAGCGGATCCACATATCTTAAAATTACAATTTACTTCTTTAGTATATTTATTAAAAATTATAGAAAATAACGATATATTAAAGCCTTCTAAATATTAAAAGAGAAGGAATTTTAAAGTGTACAAAACAATTTTAAAAAAACATTCATAAACATAAGATTACTTATTGGTACAAGATTTTTTTAATAAAGTACTTCATCGTGGACAAAATAAAGTATGCCCGAATTTTCTTCAACTGGAGTTATTCGTTTTTTCAAACCCACTAACTTAAAGCATATCAAAACGATTAATAACTTCATGGTCACGAGGTTCATGACTTCATTATATTGGAATAATGAAAAAAACA